GAGCTAACCTAACTAGCACGCTAACCTAACCTCACTTAAATTTTATTTTAACCTTCGTTCTCCTCGCACATTATATTCTCCTGATACCAGATTTGCATGGAGCCTAACCTAAACTAGCACGCTAACCTAACCTCACTAAAATTTTATTTTAATCTTCGATCTCCTCGCACATTATATTCCTCCTGATACCAGATTTATGAAGCTAACCTAACTAGCACGCTAACCTAACCTCACTTAAATTTTATTTTAAACCTTTCGTCTCCTCGCACATATATTCTCCTGATACCAGATGTTCTGAGGCTAACCTAACTAGCACGCTAACCTAACCTCACTAAAATTCTATTTTAACCTTCGTTCTCCTCGCACATATATTCTCCTGATAACCAGGATTCTGAAAGCTAACCTAAACTAGCACGCTAACCTAACCTCACTAAAATTTTATTTTAATCTTCGCATCTCCTCGCACATTATATTCTCCTGATACCAGATTTATGAGCTAACCTAACTAGCACGCTAACCTAACCTCACTAAATTTTATTTTACCCTTCGATCTCCTCGCACATTATATTCTCCTGATACCAGATTTCTGAGCTAACCTAACTAGCACGCTAACCTAACCTCACTTAAATTTTATTTTACCCTTCGATCTCCTCGCACATTATATTCTCCTGATACCAGATTTCTGAGCTAACCTAACTAGCACGCTAACCTAACCTCACTTAAATTTTATATTAACCTTTCGATCTCCTCGCACATTATATTCTCCTGATACCAGATTTCTGAGCTAACCTAACTAGCACGCTAACCTAACCTCACTAAAATTTGATTTTAACCTTCGATCTCCTCGCACATTATATTCTCCTGATACCAGATTTATGAGCTAACCTAACTAGCACGCTAACCTAACCTCACTAAAATTTTATTTTAACCATCGATCTCCTCGCACATTATATTCGCCTGATACCAGATTTATGAGCTAACCTAACTAGCACGCTAACATAACCTCACTAAATTTTATTTTACCCTTAGAGCTCCTCGCACATTATATTCTCCTGATACCAGATTTCTGAGCTAACCTAACTAGCACGCTAACCTAACCTCACTAAAATTTTAGTTTAACCTTCGATCTCCTCGCACATTATATTCTCCTGATACCAGATTTATGAGCTAACCTACCTAGCAGGCTAACCTAACCTCACTAAAATTTTATTTTAACCTTCGATCTCCTCACACATTATAATCTCCTGATACCAGATTTCTGAGCTAACGCTAACCTAACCTTACTAAAATTTTATTTTAACCATCGATCTTCTCGCACATTATATTCTTCTGATACCAGATTTCTGAGCTAACCTAACTAGCACGCTAACCTAACCTCACTAAAATTTTATTTTAACCTTCGATCTCCTCGCACATTATATTCGCCTGATACCAGATTTATGAGCTAACCTACCTAGCACGCTAACCTAACCTCACTAAAATTTGATTTTAACCATCGATCTCCTCGCACATTATATTCTCCTGATACCAGATTTCTGAGCTAACCTAACTAGCACGCTAACCTAACCTCACTAAAGTTTTATTTTAACCATCGATCTCCTCGCACATTATATTCTCCTGATACCAGATTTCTGAGCTAACCTAACTAGCACGCTAACCTAACCTCACTAAAATTTGATTTTAACCATCGATCTCCTCGCACATTATATTCTCCTGATACCAGATTTCTGAGCTAACCTAAACTAGCACGCTAACCTAACCTCACTTAAATTTTAATTTAACCTTCGATCTCCTCGCACCTTATATTCTCCT